ATGCAAAAGAAATGGACATAGGCCAATAAGATAAATGAGTGGAAACGTTTGTATTTGATAATATAGTTTAGATGGTTCATTTGAATTACTGATAACTGATTTATACTAGATAATCATTATCATGTTTTGGACACATTAATCGATAATTCCACATACAACTTCTGGAATTATCGTGTTAAAGGCGTTATATCACTCTTCAGTGATCAAAAATTGAAGTCCACAGAAGTCGAAAATAAGTGAGAAAAGTATATTAGCAAGTTTGAAGTAATGTGACTGCAATCGATTATAGTCACTTTACACCTCTAATTACCAAGATTTAGCATACTTGAAACTCTATCTGGGATCCCTATGCTTTTTCATTCATCTTGGATCAACAACTATCGGCCTAACAAATTGTATCTAACACTACGGTTTTTTCACTTCACGCACACTTTGTCTTTAACAATATATCGGGGTAAGTCTTAGCTATCCACTTCAGCTCATGTAAATTGTCCATCTTTGTTTATAAGTTGGGATCTTCAATATCTGCAATTCGTCGGTTAGACCAAGTGTGAGTAATATGTTTTTACACATAAGTAGAAAAATGTGTGTAGCTTTTTGTTTTGGTATAACAGGTCTTTGTTGTGCGTTTGGTCAAAATATATGCACTGTTGTCGTAATATGCGGTTAGGTATTTCTCTCTCGACTGTAGCTGCTACTTTGACACAGTGGTCGGGCTTGCCTATCATGATGACCCAACCGAGCTATATTAACTGGAACATATGTTCCTGTAGGTTCTGCCATGTCAGGTAGGTCGATTTGAGAAAGGTAAGACTAAAAGCAGCAACTCAAGGTCTGAGGGAGAAGTCGTACTACTGACTGTAGAGGGGTGTGACAGCAGTAAGGTGTTTCCCTCGGACAACCAGCATCTGCAGCGATGCTGCCTTCTCACAAGGAAGGGGTTAGAAAAGGTTGACCCTAAAAATGTCACACCTCGCCTTACCTCACGGATTTCCGTCTCCGGTGGTAAGGCTCTTTGAAGAACGGAGCTAACACATTAAAAACCTCCCACGAAAAGGCTGTGCGCGACCGGCCTCAAGCAGTTGTCCCTTGGGCTCTGCAGTCACACTTCCAGGTCGTTAAGACCAACACTAATCCGGTTTCCTCTCCAGGCTCCTCAAGAAATACCCTCCCATGGTGTGGGCAGCCGGGAAGTGATATCAACCCTCATACCCGTAACAGCACAAGAGACCAAGTTGGTCACATTCAAATCCTTCCTACACCTAATAACTCTTTAATCTCCACGACTAACCCTTCTCACGTCCCTTTATCATCTCACTCCGCTAGGGCAAACGATTCGAGTACGCGGAAGGTTATTCCTGGTCTCCTGAAACCACGCTTCTAAACTACACGTAGGGGCTTTCAACGTCCGAACACTGCCAAATAGGACAACAGACTTCCTTAGCTAGGACTTTAAAATCTCGCGCCATCGATATGTGCTTCGTCTCCGACACGCGCATACAGAATCTGAGTAGCGTCATTCATTTGACCTCAGCATATCAAAATAAAGAACCAACTCGATTCACGCTTCGTGTGTCTGGAAGCCCTGATGCTGCTTTCCGTGGCCCAGCTAGCGTAGGTATAACATTGAGTCCTATGGCAGAACTAGCTCTCTTAGACTGGATCCCAGTAGACAGTCGTTTGTGCGCTGTCCGACTGAACGGAACAGTAAGAATCCGGAAAGATAGGGACACCCGTCGTTGCCTCTTCGTCGTTTCTTCCTATTCTCCCACTGACTGCAGCGCAGATGATGTAAAAGATGAGTTTTACAGAAAGCTCTCCGACCTTCTCCGAAAAGCTAGACGCTCTGATGTAGTAATAGTGGCTGGTGACTTTAATGCTCAAGTAGGTAAACTAAGTGAGAGAGAAAGACACCTGGGTGGATCTTATAGTGTCGTGGCTCAGAGAACAGTTGATGGCGACCGTCTGTTGCAGCTGTGCTCAGATAACCGCCTGTTCCTTGCAAATACTAACTTTAAGCATAAGGAAAAACATCTTTTGACATGGCGACCCCCTAATTCGTCCCAACGTTGAACTCAAATAGATCACATCGCCATTACGTACATCCATCAGGGCTGTTTCCAGAATGTCATCGATGGCAAAGTTGAAAAGGAATGGTGAGATTGAGCAACCCTGTCTAACCCAACTGCTTGAATGGAACAATGGAGAAAGGTGGTTGTATGCCCTCACTCCACCCGATATGTTTGTGTATAGGGTCTTTAGGATGTTACTAAACTTTTCAGACACACCCTTCTTCAATAGACAATCCCAGAAAACAGTCCTGTCCAACGAATCGAAGGCAACACTGATGTCAAAAAACACTACGATTGTTGGCCTGTGATAAGTATGACGGTGTTCTAACATTTGACGGAGATTGAGGATATGATCAATACATCTTCGACCAGAATGAAAACCTGCCTGCTCCTCGCGAGTCAATCTTTCATGGGTTTTGAACAACCTACGAACTATGACGGAAGCCAATCGCTTTAACGCAATCGGAAGTAGACTTATCCCCCGATAGTTGTTACAGGAACGACGTGAACCCTTTTTAAAGATAGGGACAACTGTCGACTTATCCCATGATGTTAGTACACTCTCTAATTCCCAAACCTTTGTAAACAACGTCGTCAGTTCCTTAGCCAGAAAGTCACCACCATCTTTAAAAAGGGCCGGAGGTAACTCATCTTAGTATTTCTCGACCTTAAGGCGGCATTTGACTCTGTTGATCGTGAGGTTTCTATGGCAGTGTTTGTCACTGAAGGAGTACCAAAGAAGTATATTAACCTTGTAAAGGCTCTCTAATCGAACACAACTGGTCGAGTGAGAGCTTATGGCGAACTGTCATCAGGATCGATTACCTCAAGTGGTGTTCGTCAGGGCTGTCCACTCTCTCCATTCTTGTTTAACTTTGTCGTCATACTTTCCTCATCTAAATTTCCAGGGGTTGAACTTCTACCGGGGGGTTCACTTGTTGACTTAGAATATGCTGATGACATAGTTTTATTTGGTGAAGACGCTGACAAAATGCAGAGTCTTCTGACCACTCTAAGCAACAATGCAAGCATGTTCGGGATGCGATTCTCCCCATCGAAATGCAAAATGTTGTTTCAGGATTGGGTTGCATCGACACTCGAACTAATGATAGGGAGTGAAGTAATTGAGCTTGTCGATCGCTTCACTTATTTGGGAAGTCTCATCAGCCCTTGTGGTCTGGTGGGTGACGAAATCTCAGCACGGATACAGAAGGCTCGATTAGCTTTTACCAACTTGCGTCATTTATGGCGTAGGCGAGATATCCGTCTATCAACCAAAGGACGTGTTTACTGCGCAGCAGTTCGTTCCGTCCTACTTTATGGTAGTGAAACATGGCCGGTAAGAGTAGAGAATATTTGTAGGTTACTAGTATTCGATCATAGGTGTCTCCAAAACATTGCTCGTATATTCTGGGACCATCGAGTAAGTAACGCAGTTGTTAAGAAACGGATGCTAGATAAGGATGGCAAATTAATTGATGAAATAGTGAAACTTCATCAGTTGAGACGGCTTGGACACGCGTTACGTATGCCCAACCATCAACTGCCCAGATGTGCGATGTTTCATGGTGTAGGAGTAGGTTGGAAGAAAGCTAGAGGCGGTCAGATCAAAACATGACACAAATCCATGAAGTAACTAAGAAGTGGACTAAAACATGTTGGTAGGTTTAGACTACCTGGTTGGGGACCGTGAGATGATAGCAACCGATTGTTATAGACCCTGAATGACATGGCTCAAAATCGTTTGCAATGGCGCAAGTGCATACACTCTTTGTGTTCTCCCAAATTCTAATCTCCTGAATTCTTCATGTCCCTTTTTTTCTCTATCTAAATTTATTTCACTGGATTATACTCTTTAAATAACATCTTCAAACCCTTACCGATTACTGCTTATACTCTTACTACCTCTACCACTATGGGATTTGGATCGACAACTGGATCTCTGTGCTAATGTGGTGTGGCAACTCGGACTGATGTACGTACTTACGAAGTTCTACGTTGTTACTGACTGACTGAGGTATTTCTCTGTTTCGAACATGCTTGAGTTCGGTTTAAGGTTGTCATGTGTCATTTCATGAAGATCAAGTGGTCAACACACTCGGATGTCTTAAATATTATTTAAGCATAGTGTCACGAACTCTTCTCTCGTGGTTCAATAACTATGGTTGTTTTAACCAGTTCCCTACTACTTTTTTCACTTGATATAGTATGATAATACAATAGTATATACTTGATATTTCGAGTGACATGTTTTTTTATTCTCTTTAAAACCGAATCTTTCTAACTTAATTGTTTCCACTCATGTGTTTTATAACTACAGAATCAGTTTACTTGCATATGATTACTGCTGATTAAGTGAATGGAATTTTGGTAACAGGTTTGCTCTTTTCCGGAACGGTTAGTATTATGTCCTCATATATTCTTGCACATAATCAGTGTTGACAGTCTCCTAGTCTTCATTTTTGTATACTATTTTGAAGTTTATCGTTCATAATCCGAATACGTTCCGATAATTGATTTTTTAACTGAACTATTTTGACTAGGTTGTTGTATTTCTTTCAGTTATTGACCTAAGTTTCCAAATTTATTTTTTAGGCTTTTAATTAGAATACCTGTTTTTTCTGATAAAATATTGGGATTGATACAGTTGGCTTGTTTGAGGTTGTCCAAAATGCTACACTCTTTTCATTGATGAAGTGTGTTTCTATGATTAGGATGTCCTTATTTATGTTAGCTACTTCTGTGCAACGTTCTATATCATTCTATTTGCCTTTCCATATAATAGATGGGAGTATTAGAATTTCAGATAAATATATTAATAATATCCTACCGTTTCGTATTAAAAATTGAGTAAAATAAATCAGGAAATTATTCAATCTTATGTTGCCATATTGACAGTAAATTTGAAGTTGTTTTCCCTTCCTACAGATTACAGATTTTGGTGGAGGAATGGCTTTAAATATGGTCGAAAAAACGTTTCGATACAATTATACAACAGCTGTTCATTCTGCAAATCTACATCCTACTGTACTAAATTTTGAGAATAACTATTCAACAATTCAATCAGCCAATCAGGTTACAGTAAATGATCGAATGACATGTGAAGTTGAACCAGAACGTAATGCCTGTTTATCTATTGCTGGAAGAGGACATGGTTTACCATTAAGTAGACTATATGCTAGATATTTAGGTGGTAATTTAAAATTGCATTCTATTGAAGGTGTCGGTACATCAGTATTGATTTACTTAAAAAGACAGTCACAAGATGCTTATGAATTGATTCCACTGTTCAATCACACATCAAAATCTTTTTATGAAAATAGTATGCAACAACGTGATTGGGTTTCTAATTCTCAGAGAACTTTACTTGAACCATCTACAACACCTTAATGATGGGTCATCCTTTTCTTGATCATCTTGTTTTTGTTACTTATCTACTTTCTTATTCCTTTTTTGAAAGACAGTCTATCTTGCCATTTTCAAAATAATATCAATCAATTAAATTGTGTCTTTCACATATTGTATTTTATTGTTATCATGTATATGCCCTTATCTGTGTATGCATTTACTGAAAATTGCAAAACAGAATGGAAAAAAATGAAAGGAAACAAAACGATACCAAGGAATTAACCCTCTTTACTGCCTGTGTTTTTAATGCATTCTTTTTGTTTGTGTATATTGTGTATCCTTTGTTTACTTTTTGTCTTTTAATGCTCTGACTGATTGTATTTGGATGGTCAAATAAGAATAATAATGTATACATGATTTTTCGTATGGTCCATTCCATACAATAGAATTTTTTGTCTTCACCTATGAAACTCGGTTTAATAAGCCATTCCTCATGTTGCGACTGAACTGTGGTTGGAAGGTGTACATTTAGTCACCACCACTACGTTTTGTACATCACCTAAGGGTTTATTTAATTCGATCATATAATGAACCATCTGTACTGTTAACAATAATGAAACCATAAATAAGCATCATTCTGTTGTACAACTACAAATAATTTCTATTGTAAGCTACCTTTTCATCGCACAAACTGCACTTCTTGGTAAGAATATTTACCATAATATTTTGTCGAAAGACGTTAAGATTGGTAGACATTGATAATGATTGTTTTAGATCGTAGTTCTTTACAACGATTCAAAAATCATATTTTGCCCGAGTTTTCCACATTTGTAAAACGAAGGATAAATAAACTTTCATTTGTTGACAACAAGTATAGTTAAAGTGACTGGTTTTATAAACTGCAAGCTGACAGTAATTAGTCAAATTGTCTAACTCCTTGATCTTACGTATTTTCATTTTGATCTTTCTAGTCAATTAGGTCATAGCTGAGATGCTGTGGGTTTTTTAATGTGACTTCATACGTATCTTGGGAGATTCTAGTAGTTGTACTTTTAGCTCATGTCTCTTAGTTACCTGGCGTGGCTGCGATCCGGTTTTAGACAGCTATCTCTGGCAGTAAATCTAAAATTCATTGTCTTAGGAATTAAAGTTACCGGCAAAAGTAATGTGGGACTCGATATGATATTATATATTTAGTTAGTCAATGAAAGTATGACCGGTTTATTCAAAATAAGTATATATTAAGTAACCACTGATTGAAGGTAAATATAAGAAGGGGTGTTTATTACGAAGTAGAGAGGACGGGAAGCGAATGTCTCGCGCCTTAATCAGGTTGGTGGGTACGGAAGATCCTCTAACGAAGCTGGAAAATCCTGGTTTGAAATTACTAGTCGAGTGTGATTCGGAACCACTAGTGCGCATAGATTCCGGGATCCTGAAAAAACAAATGGTGTATGAACCTTCTGTTGGTTGCCGACTACCATGGGGCTGCATTTCCTAACGTTACTGCCTTGTGTAATAGACCTCTAGGTCAAAGGCCCAGATGCAATCTATGGTGAGTCCTAGCAACAGTTAATTGATCTCTAGAAAGTGCATTCGACAGATATTGTAGTACTACTGGCCGGATATTTGAATGAGCATGTTGGGCGTCTAGACACAGAAGAGTCATTTGGATGACCGATTGGGACTTGTTGGTCTTAGGTCTGATAACGGTGACCGTTTACCGAAACTTGGCTTAAACTGCAACCTGTTTCTGGCTGGCACTAACTATCAGCATAGTCATCGCCGATATGCTATCTGGTGTTCTCCCTAAGCACTTCATATCTAGACTCAGATTGATCTCATTTCAATCAGCTACCTCTGTCATAATTGTGTACATGACTGCTGCTCCTTTTGGAGTAGTTATCTTGGTTTTGATCATGCCCTTGTTTGGGCTAGGCTTATCTTAGGTTTCAATGGCTAATAAATTCATCTCTCCAACTGGAACGATTTCGGCAAGTTGGCTGCAATTTCTGTTGTAACTAGATATCAAACCGAGCGAGGTTCAAGGCCAGCTATCAACTCAACGAAAAGTATGGATAAACATTGGGTGCAATTGCGAGATGCAATAAAATGGCAAATAAAGTCATTAGTGGGTTCGCGAAACATCCGTCTTATAATCACTGGGTTTCTACAGTCTCTTTACAACTCGTTGAAGCACATAGGTCTACTCTACCACAAACGAAAACTGTTACATAATGAAATTGTGCAAAGCTTACGCAAGAACCGAGAAACCCGGTGATCGAAGCGTGCAAATGAGTTAAAAGCAACAGCTGCAACTGGTAACTGCCGCAATCTCTTCCAACTCATCCAAGTCACTGTCAGCAAGAAGGGCTACCCATAGCAGCACCATCAACTTGTCGAAAATATTCACCTTCAAACGTGAACTGAACATTTGCAGTACATAAGAAAAGTAATTATTGCAACAATGATGACTGAATATGAAAAAAGAAGAAAATTAGCAGATATATAGTCACAAACGGAATCCAGTCTTAGTTACTGGTTTACATTAAAGGAATGCAAAGTCTTATCTTTAATATTAATTCAAATGTATGTTCTAAGGAAAACCTACATAGTTTATTACGAATTGGGTTTAACACCTTTACTAACCATTTAGCTGGTTCATGTGTCGATGAACCACGCATAGATAATATTGGTCGTAATGGATTATTAGGTTTATGAATTTTAGGCGATCCATATAAATTCGGGAGAACGGAACCGGAAGGTTTTAGCAAATTAAATTCCTCTTTGGATATGACATTCATTTTAAGAAGCTTTTGTAGATTGGACTTTACTCTGGATTCCAATTTTCTAACATTAATATCGCATGGAACGTCCAGCAGGAACTTACTATGATCACCAAGTATAGATAAAAAAAATTTTATAATCACATTTATTAATAGTAACCACCCCTGAACCTTTGTCAGGTCCGTGGATCGCATTATCTGAGTTGCTTTAGAGGTTTTGTAAAGCGGCGAAATGTTTAGAAGTCAAAATATTCCTGTATCTAATTTGGGAACCGTGAAAGTGGTGGGCACTATCAACCAATTTTCCTTACGTCGAGTGGTTTGGACAAGACGGTTCAACTAATCATAGAGATTTTAGAATTGAGTACCTATCGATAGATTAGAAATCTTGGCATATGCAACGGAGAAGTTAAATCTGAGAGATAGGGCTTCATTCTCAAATACGGAAAGTTTAACAGATGATAAATGTGTTACATAACTATCAGGGTTAAACTGGAATGAATTTTCATCCTTATCATCAATAATAGATTTATTCAGCTTTTGTTTAGTAGTGTAATTTGTTTTAACAACTACTGTACTACAAAAGTTCATAAATTTAATATGACATATTAGAGAAATATTCGATAATACACATGATGCATGAGTGGGAAATTCAATTAATTTACTTATCATATAATTACATTTTTTCCTTGTGAAATCTCGTAAGCCGCAAAAGATTAGAAACATTTAGTTGCAATTTATTAGATCATAAGGATTTATAAAATTGTCTGGGAAATGTGTGTATAGTGATGCAAGTCTTGTAAAACTCAAATTTTACATTTTCAGATGCAACTTTGCACTTCAGATTAGCAAGTTCATCTAACCGTTTAATGCAAGACGAAAAACGTTTTTTCAAGAATTTAAAGCAATTAATCCCTTTTATAAATTTCGATAGAACAATGAGAAGACGGAGTTGATCTGAAAAATCTCATGTATTTGCGTTGTACATTTCGAATAATCTGGTCACACATATACTTGTCTGCACATTTTCTATCAAAATTAATAATGGTCAATTCAATGAAAGTCTAATTTTTACTTGAACTTTCATTGAATTGACCATTATTAATTTTGATAGAAAATGAGTAGACAAGTATATATGTGACCAGACTGTTCGAAATGTACAACGCAAATATTTTATTCTCCGTGGTACAAGGTGTGTTGATTGAAATTTCAACTACACTACTATAATTATGAATTATTTCAGTTAATTATGATCTACTTTGAATAAACAATAATTAGAATAATAAATAATCAACTCACAGTTTCCATAGAATTTATTTTAAAACAATGTTTGGTTTTCTCCATTTAACTTTTGATAAAATGAAATTATTCAAGGTTGATATACTATAGCGTTTCTACGGCTGGATACAACACAACATGAAGAGAAATAAATATGTTTCAAGATATATTAAAATGTATATTGAGTGTAAAATAATACGTTGATAAGTAAGCCAGAACGATTTCTATTGATTTAGAAATGGGCTTTATTTTTTTTATATAAACTAAACAATTTAAACAGGGATAGTTATTTCTGAACTTCAGAACGTGAATCGACCAATGAAAGAGACTAAAGAACAAAAATAATATACTGCATACTCAGTGGTAAAAATGTAAGTCTGAAGGTCTGATAATTTCCACACAGACAAGTTATTTATATTCTGACCAAATGAGTATTTTTTCTCAAAACTATGTGTTTCTCGATCCTCTTTAATTTTCAAAGTTTTCCACCAAAATATACTTGATATTGGTATTAAGAGTTTATCATAATTCTAATTATCAATGTACGGTATAATTTATGATTATATCTGTCGTATTACATTTATATAAATTGAGACATCGCATAATGTGAAACGTTGTCATAGTCTATCATACACCAAAAAAAAAAACCACAATGATCAAATAACAATACAACTTAGTCCTCATTCCATCATTTAAAGTTATTATTCGTCAGTGTGCATCATGGTCCTACTTGACTAAGTTCACAAATAATGAATTTTCATTGGAACATTAAAAAAAGTACCTCAGAAAACTATTAAGGAATGATTCAAGATTCTATCATAAATTTCTTAAAAGAAAAAAAACCTTAGCTACTTTGATCAATAAACCTATTTATTACCAACGGATTTGATTTAACATACCAACACTTACAAGTTACCATTTAAATGTGAACATTTCCAGAGAATTCTAAACGTATGTTATGGATTAAAAATCATATTA